GAAACAAAAGTTGCAGTGAATGATGGAAGAAAGGTCTTGTTTATGTTCCAATATGAATGTTTATGAAATTTTTGTTTTATGTGTGGCAAACTCTATCATGTAGAAAATGAATGTAATGAGGCACTAATGAGGAAAAGCAAACTTGGATCAATAAAAAAGGAATATGGTAGATGGCTTTATGCAGACTTATCAAAAGCACAGTTAGTTAAATAAGAGTGGTCCATTTCAAGAGATGCAGGGATGATATCTCTTTTAGTCCAAAGAATAAAAGGGGTGAATCACGATATCAAAAAAGTAGCAATGGTAGCAACGAAAGGTAGTGCTTCTCAGGGTTCCAGTCAAACTTGCTGCGATGAAGAGGAAGATGAAACATGTGGCAAACAGGGATGGCATCCAGGAGTTTGTTCTAAAATTTTAGCCAAAAGTAACGCAGATGACTATGGGCTGACCTTAAAATGGGGGCGGCTGAGGGGCCTAAAATTTCATGCACGTTATCATCGATTTCAAAAATGGTGATGGGGGAAGATTCAGGGGAGAATCAACTGGAGCCAAATCTAGGAATGGGATTCATGGGAGTGATACAAATTTAAACACATGTAGGCCTAAGCAGAATGGTTTTTATAGTGGACTAAGTGCAATGGAAAATGGGCCAAATCTTGATAGGGGCTTCAAATGATGGAAGAGAGCCACAAAACACGTTGGGAAGGACTCTCAAATAAAGGAAGAGGGTGGACCAATGCAAAAAAAGGTGTAGAAAATGGATGTTAGGTGTTGGAAAAGGAACAATGGAGGAGACAGCAGTGAAGAAATTGGCATCTTTTAAGGATTTCCAACCAAGTGCTAAGAGCACATAATTAGCGGCGATTATGGTAAAACTCGCTTTTTGGATTTTTGTAGTGTTTTTGAGTCAAACGTCAATTTTTTGAGATATCATATCATATTTTATTAATTCTAAGCTATAATAGTCCCAATGGATCATGATTTCCAAAAGATAGACCCGGGCTTGATCATGATTGACAAAAAGGTTAATTAAGGGGCATTTTGGTTATTTTTACTCAAATTTTGATTTTATATAGATTTTTTATTTAATTACTATGCTTTGACCTAATTTGATCAATTTTGACCAATATTTAATTGGGTCCATCTCAAGGATATTTGGTCAAATTAGATCTGATAATTCATGTTATCATGTCATGTATAATATTTTATTCGTGTTATATTTTATATGAAAATCGTGTGTCATAATTCGTGTCGATATGAAAATGTAAAATATAATTTTTTTTGTTTTATTAAACCTATTTATATATATTTTAAATTTTAACTTGTGTTATTTCGAAGTTCTTTATTCATATAATTTTCTTATCATGTCATCGTATCGTATTTAAATTGTTAGATCTAATCAAAACACCCATTTTTACCCAAAATTCAAAATCTTTTTTAAAGCTCTTCAAAAATCTAATGATTTGACTTGATTCTTTCAAAATGATCGAAATTTGGTTTAATTTGATCAAGATTTTAATCGAAGGATATTTTAGTTAAAATTTAAATTTTAAACAAATCCAATGATTCCTATTTAAATTTCATTAAAACCTTTGTTTTGATCAAATTTGATTTTTGAGCTAGATTTGACTATTTTGATTGAGTTTTACTAAAAATTTGACTGAATAATTTTCAAAGTCTTTTTGTAAAATTATCCAATAGTCTCCGTTTCAAATGATTTGAAAACTTTTCATTCCGTTTTTGGATCTAAAAACTGTTATTTGACCAAATTTGATTAATTTAACTTTTATGTTGACTTTTGACTTTTTTTTAACTTTTACTATTTTTCTGCATCAATTGTAACAATAACTTATTTAAAAAGCTTAGAATATTTATAATGCTTAAAACTTTTTGGAAAGAACCCAAGTCTTGATTTTAAAGTATAAAAAATTGACAAAAACGCTCAGGTGTCTATAATAGATGTATACAATATAATCTTTTGTTCCTTGTCTTGTGTTCATACAAACTATTGGTTGATGTATTAGGAAAATTTATGGCTAAGGCTGTAAATGAATAAAACGTTTGATAATTAGTTTGTGAACATGTTAGATTTATGTTCATTTATTAAGTTTAACAAATAATCACAAATAATATTTTAAGATTTGTTAATTAAATAAACAGATCATGAACATAATAAAATTCATTTATGTTTGAATTATTTGTCAAAATTGATAAAAAATTTAATAATAATTCGTAAATATATTCAGTTTTTATTTGTTTATTAAATTTACAAATGATCACGAATAATTTTTTATAATTTATTAATTAAACAAATAAATTATGAACATAATTATATTCATATTCGATTCATTTAAATTTATTCTTACAATGGGCAATCAAAGGTTCGTACAATTAATACTTCAAGCAAAAGTAAGAATAAGCGGCACAAAGAAGAAAGTTTGGATAGATTGCTTAAGTTAAAGCCACGCCTAAGTGCATGAAAAGTATAGATAAAGTGCTTGAAAATTAAGATTATTGAATTTGCATTGTGTATGTCATTTTTGGAACCTATTCCACAATTTTTTAAACTTATATTTATACATGAACGAAAAACAGATTCTAAGAATTTCCTAATGTGACTACCGCCCATTAACTCCCTTGTCTTTACGTGTTCAATAATGGGTGAAAACTACTTCACACGCTACTTTCACTCCATGAATTGCTAGTTGAATATTTTCTACAATTGCTTTTAAATTCTTTGCCTTCAGGCTGATCTTCTCTCTACCTGAATGCTAATAACTGTTTCATATTAAGGCTAGAAAATCTCCATCTACTGAATTTTCTTCAGAACTAATCCCACTCATCAATATATAAGCGTAGAGATAGCAAAGCTGATCCAAGGCTGAAAATCTGCTTGAATTGATCTGCAACCAAACCTGAATCAATCCAAACTTATTAAAGAAAGTTAAAGATTGAAACCCAAAACAATTAAATCCGAAAAAATTCAAATCCGAAAAGTTCAAAACCGATATAATCTGAATTTATCATAACCCAAATTCACAATGATCTGAACTGGAGATCAATCCGATATAAAACCCATACAAAACCAAATTATAACTTGAAAAATCGAAACTATAATTATATGATTTTTTAAATAAATAAAAGTTAAATATTTTTCTTAACTAAAAATTTTAAATTTTAAAATGTTATTGTTGATAATTATTAAATAATTAATCAATAATAATCAACAAAATTAATGTTAAATTTTTAATTTTGATTATAAAATAAATTTAACTTGAAACACACTAAATATTAATATCTAATGATTTTTGATACTATCATCTCATTATATTTATGATAATTATCAATATATAACAAAAAATAATATCTAATGATTTTTTCATATACCACCAGTTCTTTTAGTTAATTTTTTTCATAATTTTTATATTTTTATTTTAATATTAGATAAAAATAAATTTAATTTAATTAATTATTAATAACTATTAAAATTAAAATTAAAGTGAGAATAGAATTAATTATTATTAATAATAAATAAAAGTATAATTTAAAAGTATACTATACAAGTAATAATTTTAATACAATTATTTTTTAGACTTTATTGATATTAAGATTAAATATATTTAAGTAATTACATTTATTGACTTTAGATTACTAACATTATAACAATTAATTTAATAATATCTCCTATTCAATATTTTAATTGAACATTTGGTCAATTGATATATATCTAATATTATTTTATTAATGTAAATGTTAATGTCAAAATAATATTCTTTTTAACAATATCTATTATTCAACTATGTGAAATTTGAATATTTTAGTTTTTATTTGAATTTATATGATGGATTAAAAAATAATAAAATATATTTAAAGACAAAATTAATATATAGTATATGTTTATATAAATATATTATTTTTAAAATTTCAACATTAACTTTTTTGTAATATTTTTATTTAATAATATAAAAAAATGAAATTAATCCTTAAGTCAAAATTACAAAATATATTTATAACTTACAAAATTTAGAAAATTTTTCAAATTTGTCTAAGTTAATCTACCTAACTCAAATCGAACTAAATCCAAAATAAACTAAATATGAAATAGCTCGTATATGAGATGATTCGAATTTAAAATAATCTGAATTTAAAATTATTCAAATCCAAAAAAACTTGAATATAAAAATAATCAAATATGAAAAAATCCGAATTTAAAACGATCTGAACTCAAAATGAATTTTAATTCAAAATATTCAACCTCTAAAACAATTCAATCCGAATTCCAACCGATCCATTTGCCACCTTTATGTAAACATATTAAGAATTCAATTTTGTTCTCTAAAAAGAAAGCAAAAGAATTCAATCTCTTAAATCCCTCGATTTTAGTCTTGATCAGAGTGCTAAATTTTCTAGCTTAATAATTCCATATGACCACCATTTCGCTAGATTTTCTCTAGCAAAGGTTGATTATTCGATAGTCGTGGCCCAATTGGACTCCATAAAGCGTTAGTTTGGGTTAGTCCAAACATCTTGGACTCTTTTTTCTAGTCGTACCTTGACAAATCCTACTTTATTGGGCCCCCCCTAAAACTTAGTCCATTAACTTAATTTGATTAATTAACTTGCTTAATTAATCCTTTTCATTATCCACTTTAATGGATTATTTCTTTTCTCAACACAAACAAAACAGAAGTTTAAAGTACGCAAAACATTTTCGATTTGATTAGTAAACCAAACGGAAAATTTGTTTAAAAACCAAACTTAAGCAACAATCCATGTTCGTTTTTTCAATTTAAACCCAATAGGTGAACACTCAAGTGTCCCAGACCCCAATATTGGCACATTAACTTACCAAAATTACAATAAAAAATCTTTAGGCGGCACTGGTAGAATATTTTTTGATTCGTAATTATTAATTTCCAAATTTAAGCACTTTCTTGTCGTTAGTTAGCTACTCTTAAAGGGCCTCATTCCACACAAACATCAGAAATTGGTGGATGCAATTCATTTTGGATAACGTGTCCCAATCTTCCAAATATCCTGCACTCCATGAAAGCAGCGCATCCCGCTCATCACTGCTCCTGCTCTCCCTTCATACGCCTAAACGCACTATTACTACTCTTCACTGATTTCATTTCCAATTCCAATACAAAATGACAGTGTCGGCCAATGGACGGTTATCGCTCTCTGCCGCCAGCCAGCTACCTAGCACCGTGGCATTGACTGCTGGGAGGAATTGGAGGCTTGTCAAATTTTGCAATGGAGAGTTGATGGGTAAGAAGGTTAACATGACCCGAAGATATCAAGGGGTTAATAAAAAGAATGTCAAGCAAAATATTTGCATGTCACTTACTGCTAATATAGCAGGGGAGTCCAAGGTGAATGTAATCTTGTATTCTTATTATCTCTTCCATACATTTTAACTAGTCCTTTAACACTTGAGCCAAAAATGCCAAAATTTTTTTTATTAAATCCCTTTATAATTATCAAAAGAAACTTAATTTACTAGCTAAACATAAGCAATTTAATGAGTGGGGTTATTCATGCAGCTAAGGGACCTAGAGCTGGAAAGGCGGGACCCAAGGACAGTTGTGGCAGTTATTCTGGGAGGAGGAGCTGGTACTCGTCTTTTCCCTCTCACCAAGCAACGTGCCAAGCCTGCAGTAAGCTTTCATCTCCTTTTCTTTTTTTAGTTGTTGATCGAACCTGATAATTGGAATTAAAAATCCAGTTCTACCCACCACGAAGTTATTGGTCTCATCACCTTTTTTTTTTCTTCTTTTTTAAATATATATGTATAATTATCTTATACACTGTCAGGTGAATTTTATATATATCAGAACTGAAAATTTGTAGGTTCCAATTGGAGGTGCATACAGGCTAATTGATGTGCCAATGAGCAACTGCATTAATAGTGGTATCAACAAAGTGTACATTCTCACCCAATTTAACTCGGCGTCACTTAACAGGCACCTCTCCCGTGCTTACAACTTTGGCAATGGGGTCAACTTTGGAGATGGCTATGTTGAGGTATCATTTCAGCATTCATTTATGCACAAATGCCAATTGATTTTTGGCTTAGCAGCAATTGATTCTGATATTTGAAGACACTGTTTCTTTATAATAGATACTGGCGGCCACACAAACTCCGGGAGAGGCTGGTAAGAGATGGTTCCAAGGGACTGCAGATGCAGTGCGACAATTTCACTGGCTTTTTGAGGTATATAATTCAGAGTCAGCTCCCATAATGGGGAAAAAAAAAAGTCCTTGAATAACTCTCTTATGGGAGATTGGTATTTGAAAGTTTTATTGTTATCCATTGGCCACTAGGTATTTATTTTGATTTAAGAAGAACAAGAGAAAGCGAAGTAAACTATTGCAAAATGCCAAGTATCAGAAAGAATACCATTATTATTATTATTATTGTTATTATTATTATTATTTTGGTATTTGAGTTTGCCATGGCTTGTACCCTTATCACTAGAACTAAAAGTAAAGCAGTAGTCCTCTTTTTTATGTCAGTGGCTCTTGGTTTGCCATTTACTATCTTGTAGGGTGCAAGAAGTAAGGTGATTGAGGATGTGCTGATTCTATCAGGGGATCACTTGTATCGGATGGACTATATGGATTTTGTTCAGGTAGTAAGACAGAAGATATGCAGATAGTTTTACTTGTGTTATATTATATACATTGTTGGTATCAATTTTCAGAATATCCAAACTGAGATTCATGATTTTTGTTTACAGAACCATCGGCAGAGTGGTGCAGACATCACCATTTCTTGCCTTCCTATAGATGATAGGTACATCACCATTTCATGGACTTTCTTTGCAATTTGAATTTCCTGCAACAGATATATCATCTAATGGCACTCAGTAATATGCATTACCCTGTCTTTTGCTTTTATTGTAGACGTGCCTCAGATTTTGGTCTAATGAAGATAGATAATAAAGGAAGGATTCTGTCCTTCAGTGAAAAGCCCAGGGGACAAGAATTGAAAGCAATGGTAAGTCTCAGTTTATTAGGATGCACTTTGCCATTTAATTGGTTTTAGAGATTTGAGTGGTTTTGCTAATATAAATGTATATTTTAGGCAGTAGATACAACAGTTTTGGGACTTCCAAGAGAGGAGGCTGAAAAGAAACCATATATTGCCTCCATGGGAGTTTACGTCTTCAATAAGGAGATACTTCTGAACCTTCTGAGGTACAAATTTTGTTTTTTGTTTTTTCATTGATTAATTTCCTCTGAAGGAAACAAAGAAAGAATAAAAATCTTGATCAAGTGATAAATTTAACAATCATGTAAACATGCACCTGCAACGTCAAACATAGGAGCATAAGTTTTATAAACTGTTATTGATTCAGATGGCGTTTTCCAACTGCAAATGACTTTGGATCAGAAATAATCCCTGCCTCAGCTAAAGAGTTCTTCATAAAGGTACTTAAATTTCTTCTAAACATTGCATATGAAAGTATAAGCATCTCATCACAATCCCTTGGCCCAATCCCTCCCACCAGCCCCTTGAGTTTTTTTAGAAGATTTTCATTCCAACTATAAGGATAGTTCAGCATATTTACAGTGTTTACATGTGAAATTTCTGAACAGGCTTATCTCTTCAATGATTACTGGGAAGATATAGGAACTATCAGATCTTTCTTTGAAGCAAACCTTGCCCTCACTGAGCATGTAAGTGCCATAAAAAATTTGTGCTTTTTTGTCAGTTCTGATCTTTGGTAATAAGTCTGAGGACTTGCAGCCCATGCAAAACTTGCTATGGCAAGTATTCCATAGAGATTCATTTTATGCTTTGGTTGTAAAACACTTTTGCACTGTTCTAACATATCTTTTCACCTTCCAGCCACCAAGGTTTAGCTTCTATGATGCAGCAAAACCAATATATACATCAAGAAGAAACCTACCGCCTTCAAAGATCGACAATTGCAAGGTTAGTAAATCTCAGGCTTTGACTCTGGTCCTGATTGGATTGCAAAAGGAATGAAAGAAAGGAAAAAGGTCTACTCTAGCAAGAATGCTAATCAGACATGACAGTACTGCTGAGATGCCTGATCAACCGACTGATTCCTAACTTCACAGTCTGTTTTGACTTAAAGATTATACATTCTTTCTTGTTCTCAAGCAGGTTGTGGACTCAATCATATCCCACGGAAGTTTCTTAACAAATTGCTTCATAGAACACAGCGTCGTTGGTATCAGATCCCGAATAAATGCTAACGTTCACCTAAAGGTTTTGTTCTACAAATTCTATCATATGCATAACTTGTGAGCATACTGTAAGACCAATGTGAAATTTAATTTTACAGAAACTTTTGAATGTGCAAAATACGTCCTTCAAATATTGAAATTAATACTAAAACATGCTATGGTATGTCTCTCCCTGTTTGTCTCAGCCTTTTGGGACAGGGGCTCTTACTTCCTGATGTGTAAATCAATGCAGGATACAGTGATGGTTGGAGCTGACTTTTATGAAACTGATGCAGAAATAGCAGCACTTTTAGCTGAGGATGGAGTTCCTATTGGGATAGGAGAGAACACTAAAATCAAGTAATAATAACCTAAAACCTCTGAAAGTTTCTGTTCCCTTTCCTGGAGTCTTCATTTTTGGCATAGTTCTTATCATCATCTTATCATGTTATGCAGAGAATGCATCATTGACAAAAATGCTAGAATAGGGAAGAATGTTGTTATTGCCAACTCGGAGGTGTGATTCTTCAGCCCACTTTATATCTTATCGGTGTTTTTTCTCTCATCATTTTTATTAGTAAATGTTTCAATATAATGATTTGCAGGGTGTACAAGAGGCTGACAGATCCTCAGAAGGGTTCTACATCCGATCCGGAATCACCGTCATATTGAGAAACTCAGAAATTAAAGACGGTTTTGTTATATAAATGAAATTATCCATTATCCATTTTTGTTGATCCGGACGGAATCAAGAAGTTAAAACTAGTATGATAAGAATCCATGTTTGTTAATAGATACACTATTAATGCAACCCAGCCTCACAGAAGTGAGAAGAAAAACAACTTGTTTAAAAGATGAAATAATAATAATAATATGAAATTGTTTCATTTTACATTCCATAATAAGAAGGAAACAGCCAATTTTGTATAAAATTAAAACTTTAACATTGGATCTCTAATCTAAGCTCTACACAGTTAAACATCAATTCGTTTTCATATCTCTGCAAAACAAAACGCTCTTCTGAAAGTATAATATTGGTGACAGTGCATTTCTTATCTGAAAATGGCTTTCTACATGTTCTTCCAGCCCGATGTAAATAATCAATAGCAGTTTTTGGCAGGTCGAAGTTGTATATGTGAGTTGTTTCTGGCAGATCAATCCCCCTCGCAGCTATATCTGTAGACACAAGGAGATATCCACCTCCTTGCCTCACTTCCTGCATTTTGAAATAAATATTGAAAACAGTTAGGTAGCTCTTTGAGGATGGAAAGCACAATATATCATAGGAAGTAAAGGGGAGAGAGGAGAAGATTTTACTCTAAAACTTAAGCTACAAAATAGCACATGTTGGTATGAATCTCTACCGTTAAATTCAAAAAATTTTCATCCTCCTACCAAATATAGCGTAAGAACCAAATAGTTTATCATTGTCTAATACGAAATCATTAACACTACATTTTTTTGGAAGGAAAAAAAAAAAGAAAAGAAAAAGGAAAGACAGTTTTAATCTAATGGTTCAAAACTATAAAATAACACATGTATCTCAACCATTAGATTAAAAAAAATTTCCATCTTTCTCCCCTTCCATCCTCCCTAACAGACACTAGCATTCGTCGTGAGTTTGAACCACCATGGAGCCTGTTATTACAGCACTTTGTTCATTTTTTTTTCTTTTTCTCATAAAAGGAATCATATATTTTTATAGTAGCTAAATAAGTAATGTTTGCTATTTAGTTTTAGTAGATGAATAATTCAGGAAACTAAAAGAATAAAGAATCTTTTGCTTTCTTTGAATTGCTACAAAATCAAATTTACAATAAACCCAACTTTACTTTATTAAGAAGGAATGGAAAAGGCTCACCTAATCATGAAGGAACTAAAGAACACTTACAGAAAGTGAGGCTGCTCGTGAATTGAAATTCATGTCTTCCTCCAAAAGAAGGATCTCTATCGAACCTCCGTATGAAGTCTTCAAAAAATCAATTAGAAGAGTTGTTGAAGGAGCTTTCCCAGCCTTTTTTGACTTCTCAGACTGCAGGAATTGTGGAGAAAAAAAATACTTACGAAATTATAGGAGAACCCTCAAAAATTGAACCTAAGTATTGTGAAACTTCATATTCAAGCCAATTACCTTCCTACTTTTCCTTTTCACCAAAGAACACCTAAAATTATACAAGCTATATGTGTGTGTGTGTGTGTATTTATCAGCATGCTAGATCAATTTGCATTGGAACCAGCAGGTATCATGATCATATCAAGAAAATGTCCTTCATTGAAGATCATCTTGAGGTAAAGCATTCATACAATAACGCAGAACCCCAAATTTTAAGAACAGATGTCAACCTATTTTCAGAATAACAAAATATTATAATTGCATCATCTAAAAGATACAAGTGAAGAAGGATAAGCTGTCCAAACCTGCTCACCAACAAAAATAATACCATACTCAGGCAGATCACATTCTAATAATGATAGCAATAGTCGATGTTTCTCTTTTCTACCACATATCTGTCAATCAATGTAACATATGATCATAATCAATCAGGGGATTCACAGACCAAGAGAAAGGTGCCACTAAAGAAAATAGCATTTGGTAAAATACAAACATAGTAAATATATATGTCTCATACTCAAATTTATCTTACCACAAATCTATGAAGCAGGCATGGCGGCAAGGGCTTAATTGGATTGACATGGACATAAACCACATCCCTCTGTACGTAATACAGAAATAGTAGTGAAAGCAAGAAAACCAAAAACAGTACTGGATTAATTCCCAATAAGATGACATGAAAATTACTGTTAACAAATTAACCTTTGTCCACTTCTGCTGTATGCAGTCATGTAAAAATCGTCTATGCTGAGGGATGGATGCACTGGCAAGAACCGTTTGACGGTTGTTACATGAAGAATATAATGTCAAAAGCTTCCTGAGAGAACTAACTTGCTTTGAAGAACTGAATAAAAAATCAACCTAACAGAAGAAAAAGGAGTATCATACATCATTCTTCAAAATAATAATTCTTCTAAATAATAACTTTTGGTGAAACTTTTAGTGACTTTAATGAAGACAAGTAGTCAACTGAAAGGCACAATAATAAATTTCTACAAAAGTATTACTAATAATTCAAGAATACAATGAAAGATAAAAATGCCATTCAAACTACTGTAGCTTTCAGCTTGGATGCTGTGTTGGAAACTTAAATGCAAAAGTTGCTGCCCACCAGAAACGGATTATAAATAAGTCAACAACTAATTAACAAAGGCAAATGTTATTATATTTTAGTTACCTCATCAACCACCAACACACGCATCGAATCAAGCTTAAATATCTGCTTTTCAAGCATCTGGCTCACACTTCCTACTGTTGTTACCACTATACTTGGCGGTTCTGCCTGAAAATTTGAACATCAGAGGAATTACATATGCATAAAACATGACCAGGTCATCAATTAGCAACAAACTTTTTCCACAGACAGAAGGAGCTTTTCAAAATATCAAAATGTTAAGAGAAAACCTTTAAGAAAATATGTCATCAGACTTATCAGAGGAGAACTACATTGTTTCCCAATAAAATTTGAAAACACAAAAGAAATGGGTAAGAGCCGAGTTCCACTCTTTATGCATTACTTATCAAATAGTTCCACATTGTCAAAACTCATCTATTACTATTAGACAATAATTTTAACTAATTTAGAATGATGATAAATTTTTGCCACAATCCTGTAAATTTATATGGGATGGAACTTTAGAAAACAACAGAATAAGAAGAATGGTGCACCTTCAGCCAACTCTTATGTCTCCTCAACATTCCTCCATCTAAAAGTGCCATAACAGTATACGATTTCTGCTCCACTTCATGATTCATAGGCTTTGCAGCTAACATCCGAGCCACTTTCGAAATCTTGATCAAACAACAAACACCAAAACTTCCATAATAATACTACCACATTGACTTCATATTATCCAATTTTCTAACTTTTCATTTATCCGGAATCACTCATAGAAATCAAATTCAACTTGACATATTAAAACAATAAAAGAAATCCTTACTTGCATGCCAAGCTCCCTGGTGGGAACCACAATTAGAGCTTGCACAGCCGATCTTTTAGGATTTATTACTGAATAAACTAACAACAAGTAAGTCAGCGTCTTCCCGGAACCTGTCTAGAGCACGATTAAGAAGGTGAACATTAGCTTATCAGCTCAGGCTTTTTTTTTTTTTTCTTCAAAAAAAATTTATTGAGAATTAGAGTTATAGAAACTCTCTTAAGCCTAATTTTTTTTTTAAATTATTATATAAATATTGAAATTAATAATAATATAAATATTGTTTGGGAAGAAAATCAACCTGAGCGTGAAGAATGCAATCGTTTCCACGGAATAGAACAGGCAAAGCTTCCCTCTGTACGTCTGTCGGCACTACAAATCCAACCTCTTCCACTCTGAAACGTCCACGTATCAATGACAATCAATTTCAGAAAAAAATACCAAATTTGATTTTTAAGAAATTGACAAAAACGGAGAAGGTAGAAAAATGCGGGGAAGCAGAAGCATGCCTGCGCAGCACGTGGTCCGGCACTTGACCCTGGCAAATTTCACGAAGAGTTAGAGAATTATTATTCGTTTCGAGCTCTTTAGTTAGTGGAAAAGAATTGGAATTGGATAAAGAGAAGGGAGCTTTATTTGAGAATGGTTTAGCTGAAGAAGAGAGATTGAAGTAAGGTTTTCGTGGTTGGACAAGGAAACGACAAGTCCTTGGCTTTTGATCCAGTGCCGTTGTGGTTACAGAGAGAACCTGAGTAGCTGAAGTTGAAGAAGCCATATTTTTCTGGCGAGAGTGAAGGGTAAGGGCTTTGGGAGATTGAATGATGATATTGATGAGGATTATAGACGAAAATAACTGTCCATGAGTGGGGCCACCTTTTTTTTTTTTAATAAAAGAATTAGCTAGAAGATATGCACAAATTACTTTTATTTTATTTAAATTTAAATAAAAATATAAATTAATATTATTGATTATTTATACATTTAAAATATATGTAACATATAAATAATATAATTAAAATATCAAATCATAATAAAAATAAAATTTTATTATTAAATTTTACTAAAGGTTATAAGAAATTCTCTATTTTATAATTGTAAAGTTATCATAGGATTCATTTTTTTTTTAAATTTTAGTAAAATTTTTTATAATTTTAAAGTTTTTTTAAGTTAAGATATAAATGAACTTAAAATTAATATTATTGATGAGATTATCATTGAATTATTTTTTTTTAATTTTTTATGAAAAATAATATTTTGATTTGAAAATTATGTTATATGTTTCATAATAAAGATATAAGTTGAAAAATTATTCACTTTTTGAATATACAATTGGCGCATAAGTTTCTGTTTAAGACATGACTATATTATATCAATTAATTAGAGTATCATTTTTATTTTATATGAATAGGGAATATTGAATAAATAATCAATTAAAAGATAAAATATATTACGTGATTAAGTGAAGAATTTGTGAAAAAATAAAAGTTTTGCAAACAACATTGGTAAAAATATAATAATATATGTGTTTTTTTAGTTTTTTAAAAAGATATTACAGTTAAAAAAATATTACAACTGATTTGAAAAAAAATCATACATAATGGAGTGAATAGTATATTTAGTGAAATAATACCTCATATTCGATGGAGTGAATAATATGTTTAGTGAAATAGTATTTATTATAAAAAAAATATGTTAGTTTAATAATAGGGAAAAATACGTTTAATTTAGTGGAACATTGAGAAAGCTATATAACTAAAAGTTACCAACAATGAGGGCTTTCCTGAAGTTGTTATGGTATTTATATTTTTTTTTATATTTCATTTGTGAAATATATTTAAAAGTTGAAGATAATGTAAGAATTTTTTATAAAAAATATTAAAGATATTAAATAATATTTTTAAAAATTATGATAAATTTAAATACTCATATTAACTGCAAATAAATTGAAAATGATAAATTGCTTTAAAATTGGTTTTAAATTGAGATAAGATGATATACAAAATAAACTTGATGTACATGAGAGACTTTCCTAAAGTTGTTTTGGTATTTATATTTTTTTCATATTTTTTTGTGAAATATATTTAAAAACTAAAAATAATGTAAGGATTATTTATAAAAAATTAAAGATATTAAATAATAATTTTAAAGCTTGTGATAAATTTAAATACTTATTTTAACTACAGATAAATTAGAAAAGATAAATTACCTTAAAATTGGTTTTAAATTGACATGAGATAATGTATAGGAGAAACATTTATGAAGTTGTTCTAGTATTTATATATTTTTTTCACATTTCCTTTGTAAAATATATTTAAAAGCTGAAAATAATGCAATGATTATTTATAAAAAATATTAAAGATATTAAATAATATTTTTTAAAGTTGTGATAAATTTATATACTCATGTTAGTTCCAAATAAATTGGAAAAGATAAATTACTTTAAAATTGAGATAAGATGATGTATAGGAAAAAAAAATTTCATTAAAATTTAAATTAGTTTTTGATTAAATTTTAAAATTTTAGATAATTTAATAATTTTTAAAATATTTTTTATAAATAATTTAAAATTAATAAATATCTTATGTGTCATCATAATGAGAAATTTTGAGAATTATCTTACATGTAAAAAAGAAGTTGTCCACATCAACAATTGCTATTTGATAACTATGATTTTATAATATATATATGATTATTTCATTAACTAGTGTAAAACATCATTAAAGATAACCTTAGGGACATACATGATACATTGAATTAGTTTTTACATTAGTTCAACAAACAAAGCACGCCCTAGCCTAGCAATATTATGTGCTACCGAATTTGCTTGTCTACACATGAGTTAAGATGCAAAAGTGATATTGAGATGTTAACGAAACATTTAATTTTGGAGAATTTAAGTCGATTTTGAAATATGGATTAATCAAAATAATTATGAGATAAAGAACACTATTACTTTCAAATATAGGGGTGAGCACTAATGTAACAATTTAACCAATAGAAATTGATCAAATTTGATTAATTCAATTTGATTTAAAATTAAAAATTCAATAATTTATCAACAAATCATATGATTTTCTATATAATATTTATATTTAAAATTTTATTAGCAATTGTGTTTCTATTATCTTATATATTTATATATGTATGTATGTATGTGCCTGTACATGCACTTTGTAGTGTAATTTAAAAATATGTCATTTTATCCAATGAGTTTGACTAAATGTTTAAAATCTTGAAATCTTAGATATAAGTCCTTCGTTATATAGATTTAGTTAAACTTTATATTGATTTTTCTAATTATATTATATTATATTTTGTTGGTTGATTTGTTTTTAATTATTAAGTGATTTCTTATATATGAATGTTGTTTGTGTCAAACTTTGAGTTAACGGATAAAACCTTGAAACCATAAGAGGGAGAAAAAGAGCAGTTAAAGGTAAAGGTTGGGAGTGTTTTCAGCATTTACACTTTGACGCTCAAGTTAAAAATCGGTTTAAGAAAAAAATAGGAAAGAGAAAGTATGCAAGTGAAGGAGTATGAGATGTCTAGATAATACCTACGTGGCTTTATTTATAGTTGAAGGTGAGGGGTTTTGGGGCAGCCACGTTTAGTTTTATGATCAAGATGACCTAGTAGGTCAAGCTAATTTGGATGCTGATCATCCATTCAATGAGTGACAAGTCAGCATAAAAAAGGGTCCTTTAGGTAGGTTGATAAGGTGGTCGAGTTGAAATGGCATTGTACATGTCAAGTCTGCTCAAAAGTCATAAATACCCTTAATTGTTTGCTTGCAGCCTTTAATGGAAAAAAATACTATTTTACCACTTGGACTTAAAAATGCTTATAATATTTTATCTTCACACCAAGTAGCCTGAGTATTAGACTGGTAATTGTAGCCTTGGTCGATCTGGCTTGTATTGATTTGATGCATGCTTGATGATGTTAAGCTTAATCATGAGTATGGGCTTTGAAATTTACACTTAATTAGTTTGACCTAAAGTTATTAAAGTGAATGATTGTGAATGCCAAAATAGATAATGGTCAGACCAAGCAGATTTATGAATGATTATTGACATGACTTATGTGTTTGATATTTTATATTTGACCATGATTTGGTGGCCTATTGTTGTTTAGGCCAATGCGGGACTTATGCTTTTTCTTTGTTTTGAAATTTTATTTTTTTGATTTGACACAGGTGTTTGATTGATATGGGTAGGTACAATGATCTATTTGCCCATTTTTGTCTGAAAATAGCATTTAATGAGGAGAGAGAAAATTAGTCGATAAAAACTCAAAGTTGAAAATGTAAAAGGTTATCTTTGGTAACCATTTTGGACACGTGGCATAATTTGGAATGTTCATTTGATCCTTTTGTTGGCTATATAAAAGGGCTCTTTAGGGTTTTCATCTATCACTTTATAGCTTTCTTGCTCTTATGTTGATATGTTTTTATTGACCTCCAAACTTTTTAATTGTCTTTAAATTGACTTTCCCATCTTCATTTAGTTTGGTACATTTTTTTCTTTTAATTATGTCTTTTGATTCAAGTTTTAAGAGTTTTAGGGTAAAACCAAAGGAAGATTAGCTTGGCCATCAGGGTTCAAATGATAAAGTCCTTTTTATGATCATAAGAAGGGATTGAGCTACTTTTTGGTTGAATCCAATATTTATTGCTAATCAAAAAATAAGTTAAAGACAATGCTTGTGATAAGAGAGAGTGGGTCTATCATAAGGTGGATGAGCTTCTTGCTGTAATAGATCATACTCTTCAAAATCCACTAGGCCTAATGTCAAAAGTCAGTTTGACTTCTTTGGCTGGCCTTTATTCTTTTGTTTCTTCTTATCGTCTTCACTTTTTTTCCTTTTCTCGCCCTCATCCTTTATCTTCTTTTCTCGCTCACCTATCTTTTTCTTTTCTCGCTCACATTTCTTTTTTTTTCTCTCTCATTTTTTTTTTGTTTTTTTTTCCTTAGCTAGAAGCTTTTGCTTCTACTTTTTCTCGAAGAGCTTTTAGGTCGATCATAGGTTCCAACCTCGGTTTAGGCTCTATGTTTGAAGAGTCTATTATTTTTTTCTCTTATTTTTTTGAGGTGAGAAAGATCTTAACTCCTATTCTGATGGTGGCTCATATTGCCTTATTAAGGGACAAATCATCTAGTGATGAATCCTTTAAGAATGAGCAAGATTTAGACAAGGATTAGGTAGAGAGGTTTGACGAAGCCAAAGAAAAAGGTAAAAGTAAGGATAGAGAGGGGAAAAAGGAAAGGGAGAGGAAGGTCTCATTAAATGATGATGTGTTAGACCAAATCTTTGTTTATATTTCTTGTAGGTTAGGTGTAATCTCGAAAGACATGATACAGAGTTTAAAGGGCAAAGCCAATCTTGAGGATGCCTTAACATGTACTTTTTACATTACATTCATTTTTTGAAGATTAGATTTGACTTTCTTAAGAAGAGGTATAACGTAATAAATTCGACCACTTATAACCGTGTTACTATTTCCTTAGAAGCCTATCACATTTGGGTGTATTGAGAATCTATAGTAGCCTGTCTAAGGTTCTCTTTACATTGTTTTCATTGAACTTCTTTTTTCTTCTAATTTAATTATCACTCAGTTCACTTTCAATTCTTTTCAAAACATTGTAGTTTTTATTATTCTTTGTAAAAAAAAAAGGTTTTCTTCCAATTGTCCCTTTATTTAGGGAAATTTTTTGTAGTTAAAAAGAATCCCCATGATAAGAGTTGATTTTATGTGACAGTTTGGCCAGTTAAAAAAGTTTTCATAGATTGCCCGAGCTCAATAAAAAGCTAGAAGCTATTTTTTTATGCATAAAAATGAGAGATGACA